TTATAAACTTTTTTATCTTCTGGAGCTTTGCTTTATTGGATTTGACTAAAGCGCATGTCACCGCCTACCTGTGGATTTTGAGTTAAAAGTTAGTCCAAGTTTTAGGATCTAATGAGACCTGGGAAAATAGATCGATCTACGATGAATAACGGACGGGGTTTATTATTGAGCTAGTGGGTTCCAGGCTATTTTATAGGTTACATTCAGCAACGTTGTGATCAATTCATAGAAATGGATCTTTGACGTTGATGAACGCATATGGGCAGTCTATACTTAAGTCAAATTCAATTGAGTTCGCAAACCTGTTTGGTCTCTTGACGTGCTGCGCTCATTCTATACGATTGATAACATTCCAAAATGCAGTTTACTTAGAAGGAGCAATGGCAGTAGACCACTCTCGCTTGTACAACTGCACCAGTCTCCTATGAGTTCACCTATTTCCCTTCGGTTGCTGATCTCCCTTTATTCCTGGTTGAGTGGGTGTATAGCGCATCGGTCGGGCGCTATATACCAAGTATTCAACTGAAACTGCTAACCAAAAGTGTGTGGGAGTACACAGAAATAAGCTAGAAAAAAAATCTATTGATAGCTTGCTACGACCTAAGGCTAAAAACAAGGCATCAATAGAGAGTTAGCTGGCGAAGATGTGATCGGTTGCTGAGTGCGACGGCCGCTCAGATGAAGCTCAACAGAGGACAGTTTTCCGACTTGGTTGTTTAGATCGCCAGAGAACTCCACAGTATCCGTGCTTCTTCTGTAACGAAGGAGCTCTTGAAGTTGCTGATAGAAATCATTTTTTACCGAGTCAGTGCAACAGTTTGTAGGGACGTAGGCCGCAATGACAAACAGGCACTGTTTGTCCCCGCGCGACTTCGTAGCATGGAACGAACCAGCTAATCTAACGGCGCACATCCTACTGTTTACTGGGATCCAGGCGATCAGGGCGATCAGTCCGGGGACTCAAAACAATGCCGACGGCAGCTTGACCGGCATTTGAAGCTGCATGATCGCCAGACAGGCGCGATGAGAATGTGCCGCCAGTGTCGCATGTGTGGGATCGCACGGTAACCACGGAGCTCGAATCTTGCAGGTGCGTTTCTGCTAAACATCAAATGTCGATCGATAGGGTCTCTAGTATGCGGGCAAGTGCTGCCTGTTGGCCAATCTGTAGCAAAATGCGCACGTTGAGGCATGCCAGTCTTAGCGAAACGCGAGGACTCCAAAGGCAAACGGATGAACTGATGTCCGCTTGGTTGAACATGGACTTGTCGACTGGATTGGAGCGACGCCCTGCGACTGTGTGTGATTTGAAACTAGAAGATAAGCGACTATTGAAGCAAGGTGGGGGAGGGCCAATAATTGGGGGATTGAAAATGGGGAGGATAAAGGTAAAATTGGAGCGTTGCGATAAGGAGAACTATTATTGTTCTCAACCAGAGCCTTTGGTTCAAAAACCTTACCGCAAGGCAGGGGGTTTTGATATTGGAGTACAGAGAGCCCGTTTTATGGAGTCAGGAGCCACCCTCATTCCAACCCCCACACTGGAGGACAAGGAGGCTGAGTTTGTCTGGCCTCTAACTATTGACCAATCTGGTATGAGTGGCTCTGAAGGTGCGAAAATTCACCACCCAGCATAGCTCAATGGATCACTGAGGCACGCAAACCATCTCATCACGTTAAGGTCCAGTCTCGTCGAGATGATTGGTCCCTCTAATGATAACGGTGACCGATTGCTAGAGCTGTGTGAAGATGCTCGTCTCTTTCTCACGAGCAGAAGCGTGACTTGGCGCCCATTAGCCTCGAGCCAGCCATAGACGCAAATCGATGATATGGCAACCAGTTACCGCTGGAGAGGCTGTGTCCAAAACTATCGCTCGATTTGGAGCACGAGCGTGGACTCTGACCACGCTCTTGTCTGCGCCGACCTCCGAGTGCGCTTCGGTGGACGTTCGCAACGTCAGTGTGAACGGATTAACACCAGCCAGCTGGCGAAGGGAGTTGTTCTTAATGTGTATTAAAGTGCGCTGACATCTGGGCTTAGTAAGCGCCCACTAAACACCATCGAAGATCACTGCTCGCATATTCGTAAAACGTTACTGTTAGTAGGCAAGTCTTCATGTGGCAAAACAAATTGCCAAACCGGGCATTGGGTCTCTACACTGTCTCTGGAACTTATGGATACTCGCCGATTTATTCCTGCTGGAAGCGAATACATTGAGGCTCACAAAATCTCAGGACAAAACTACGTGCTTTCCTGAAGAAAGACCGCGTAGCCTGGTGGTCTCATCGTGCATTGAAAATGGATACAGCCGCTACCGTTGGTAATCATCGTAGGTTATTCCGTCTGATACGGGAAACAGGTAGCAGGAGACCTGGTGTTCGCGAGACCATACGCGACGAGAGTGGGCAGCCGATCCACAGCCTGTCCAAACGATAGGAGCGTAGGGCCGAACACTTTGCAAGACAGTTTAACCAAGCTGGGATATCGTTTTGTTTTTCAGACATTAGGCGCTTTTCTCCCTGGACCTGTATCCTTGGATCCGCAGAAGTTGAACGTGGGATCAGGTTGTTGAAATTTACTAATGCCGAAGGCGTAGATAGAATTCCCCCGGCCTTCTTCAAATTCGGGTGACCTGCTCTTGTAGATGACTTAAACGATTTGCTAGTGAAATTTTGGGAACAGGATACTGTCCCAATAGACTGGAGTAGCTCCGTCATTGTCCCAATTTTCAGGAGACACGTTCAGAATGTGGCTATCATAGAGGGATCGGTCTGATCTCAATTGCCTCCAAATTGCTTGCGTCTGTCATTCTCCACAGACTGACTGGTACTCGTCAATGCCAAATCCGTGCAGAGCGAACCGAGTTTCGTCGAAGTCGGGAATGCATTGACCACATTTTCACCTTACGGCACTTGTTGGGGCACCGCCATGTTTATTAGCGACCCATCGTTGTCATGTTTCTTGACATAATGGGTGCCTTCGATTTAGTCGATCGATGTGCCCTTTGGGACTGTCTGTTGAGGAAAGGTGTACCTGATAAATACGCAAACATTATCAAAACGCTGTACGCGCATATTTCGGGCAGAGCGAGGGTTTATGGCAAACTGTCGCCACCCTTCAGTATCACCAGCGGTGTGAGACAAGGTTGCCCGCTGTCACTTTCCTTCTTTAACTTCCCTATTGATGAAGTCATGGAAACAGCGTTCGCTGGATACGATCTCGAAGGTGTGGAGCTGCTTCCTGGTGAGCGACTTCTTGAATTGGAGTATGCGGACGATATTGCCCTAATCTGCGACTGCTCCCAAACATGTCAAGCAGCACTGGACCGATTAGCACTGGATGTCAATCGTTTTGGTCTATGCTTTGCTCCATCGAAATGCAAAGTACTTCTCCAAGATTGACAGGAACCCACCTCCGTGCTGACCCTTGGTGGTGATCTGCTAGAAGTCGTTCAGGAATTCAAGTACCTGGACAGCTATATTAGCGCCCGTGGGATTGAAGATAAGGTTACGAATCGTGTAGTAAAAGTTCCAGCTGCTTTTACCAATCTCCGCCACTTGTGATGCAGACGCGATATTACTCTCGCAGCCGTCTGTTCAGTTCTCCCGTACGGTTGTGAAACCTGGCCCATCAGATCGACAGACATAAAGAGGCTCGTCACATTCGATCAGCGCTGCGTTCGCAGCTTAGCTCATGTCTGGTGGGAGCGCTGCCTGAACAGTAGACATGTTCTGCGTCGCGTATTTGACGCAGGAAGAGCGAGTGAAGCGCTCAGCACCAGTATATCACGCACCATGCTCCGATGACTGGTCCACGTGTTGCGCATGCCAGCACACCGACTCCCGCGACCGCTATTGTTTGCGCGTTGTGGGTGCGGTTGGAAGAGGCGGTGGGGAGGCCAAGCAATGACTTGGTCCAGAGAGATGAAAACCGTCACTTCGAAGTTGGCGTCGGTTGGTGCATTCCGACTGCCTGGCTGGGGTCCTAAGGACGGTGAACACGTTTGGTTGGACACACTTGCTGATATGGTTTGGAGCGGGCCCCAATGGCGTTTGTGTTTGAGTTCCTTTGTTCATCTCCCTCCTGCTTAGCATCCCTCTCCAATCACGATCTCACTCGTTAGGCATATTATAACTTGTTGCGGTACGATAGCCGGCTCTTAGCTCTCCGGAACGATGTTCGTCCGTTACTGGGGACTCAGCCTGCGTGCCACTGTTATTTTTCTTTTTCTCGTCTTTTGTATTGCGGCACAATAGCTGAGGTGTTTTCCACCTGTAGCTAACGTGTATACTGAATGAATGATGCGATTGTCTAGCTTCGAAGGCCACAATGAGAGCCAGAATGTGTGGGTGTGTGACTCAAAGAAACCTGAGCACTATCCGAACAAGCGCACCGCCTACTTTTCTAATACATAAGAGCACTGTGATTTCATCATATCTTCGGTTTATTTACGCAATCAACCGGGGGAAATCTCCAGGTTACTTCAGATATATGAAAGCTACTCGGAAGTAAATTGGAAATGGTGGTCAATGACTTGATTGAGCTGTCCTAGAAACTTAGCTTTTGGTCTCCGCGATTAACCATTATCCATCTTCAAACCACTGCATTGTATGTTTGGATGACTGTACCGCTTTAACCAATGTTTATTTGGTGTATCAGTGTCAACTACGGTTAGCTCTTGGGTCATGGACTCTGGACATGATATTTACTGGTCTTTATGCTTATCACTACGGTGATTATCTAATCCGACCTCCATTCACTTGCTTTGATATAGTCTCTACTCAAATACGTGTGTTTCGATGCGTTCTGCTCCTAAGATCTATATCGCGCAGGTGTTCGGTATTCCATACGCGGTTGCCTCCGAAAGTCTTTTAAATTTACCTAAGAACTACATGGGTCCCTCTTTTGTGAGAATCTTACATTGCTAACACCCTTGCTTGCACCGTTATCAGTGTAAGTTCACTTTCTCTTCCTACGATTTGTGCATTTTTACTCGCAGGTGGACGTGACACAGGTGCCCCACCTGCTCAACAGCATCGCAGTGAGTACGCCGGTTTCCTGTTTTTATTCCCTTTCTGAGACACTTTGCTGTTACGTTTCTGGTTTCATCCTTGGAAGTCACGTCCTGTGACTAGTTGCATTGTATTCTATTCGATGAGACCTTTGAGCAGTCTGGGTTTTCTTAAACAGTCTCTCATACCGCCCATTCTGGCGAAAATGGATCACATTCTCAAGCGTGTCTGGCGGCTACATCTTTTTCGCGCTCTTTGCTGTTACAGAATTTCTCCTTTCTGTCTTCTAACATCACATTCAGCTTCACTTCTTCGGATCCTTTTAATTTACTCCATCCTTTGGACCATGTTGCACGAAATTACTTCTTACTGATCACGATCCCAACAGTTTTAGTTGTTTTTACAGCTCCGCTTCTTCAAACTGAAGCGTAAGTCTTATCGCCTTTGGGTTAGTTTGTCTACTATTTTACTATGTTTAATAGCGGGACCTCAGAACCCTCTAATAAGCCTTACTTTGCACGTATACGGTATTTCCCTAGGCAACTGCTGAACAATTTGTGATCCATTGTCTGCCTATCATTCACATCCAGCTTTGTGTACATCTAGCGTATTTTCCACCTTTTCCTTCAAACCGCCCACTGGCCAGTCCGTTTCACGAGTCATGTGGCTGATGTTATCTCAACATTGACCCCGGAAGTTGTGGTGACCCTCACCATGGCCATATGATCAGAAGAGTACGGCCACTGGTTCAACTATAATGCAACATTGCGTGTTTTTTTAGAGTACTATGGTAAACTCCTCTAAATGGAGATAACCTGTTTAAATCGCATCAAATTATTCCACCATACATGCGAGGATTTCTAATGAAGTTACCGACACTCTTTGGTTTTTGCCCGACATGCCGAGTCATTCTGCTTGTCAGCTGCTGTTATATGCTCCTAAAGAAGTTCGATTGCCTGTCTGAGACAATGCGGTGTTTTGTGAATATGGCATTGCTCATACCTCAACCAGCCACTTCAAGCTCCACTGGGCCGAAGAAGCGAGCTGAACGCTCCAATCTTACTACGACGTCCATGTTTCCAAATCTTCCGGTTCACTTCACTCCCGTTATCGGACAATCATCAAGCATTCCTGTCTCCGCTCCTTTCATTGGTGCTGATGTCAGCTCCGAGCCAGAATCAGTTTACCATAGGGAAAAACTGGGTATCGTATTCATCGGTTGCCTCCATGCAAACGCCAGAGCCAACACCCTTTACTATGGTAGCACCACAGCGAAACATTAGGGTGACACAGCTTTAACAGCCAACCAGACCGTTAAAAGCGGTATCAGTTAATATAATTTAATATCTACTCTCAAACCCACGGTGCTTTAACTGTTGTTGGCACAAATGTTCCAGAATCGCATTCTGCTACCATAAAGGTGAAGCTGATGGAGAACGGCAACCAGTGGAAGTCCACTTGTGATGCATCCACCTTTACTTGCCATGTTAGTAAGTCGACAGACTCATGTCGTCAGGTTCCAGAGCCTCAAGATACCATAATGATCACCGAAATTCAACTAAACCGTGAGGTTGCCGAAGTTGAGATCACTCTACTCGGTATGGGTGTTCTACAGACTGACGAAACGGGAAGTGAAGACGAGTGATCTATTATTACAAAACAAACCTCCGTTGGGAATTCAGAAACGATCCACAAACCCGTGTCACTGATTTTTTTTGTAGAGGCTCTGGTTAGACGGCTACGACAATTATCACGACGGAGAGCTCGAACGAATGCAGTGCTCCCATTCGTTTAAGACGCTATTTGGACATTTCTGAGTGAGTGTACCCCAGTGATAACATAGGAAGTATTCTTTAAAACATTCACGTCACTGGTCTCGAAGGTATCAACGAAGAAAGCTTTCCTCCGACTTTCTTTAGTCAGCCGGGCATAGCGCGTTTACAGACTCCCTATTCAGAAACTTGGACTGCGTTTGTAGTTCAACTCAATTACTATTTTCACTTATTTCGTGAGGACAGGTTAACACACCAACAGTAGCTGATGAAACCATTATGCTCGAATCACAGCCGTCAACAGCCTTCGTAAAGTGCAGTGTGGCATCATGCCACTCACTACGGTTGGTGGGCATAAATATACAGTGAGAGAGGTGACCAACAACTTACAGGCCCAGTACTCACTTACTTTCCAAGGAATACAAGGCTCGAACGGTATTCCTGTTTCGATTAGCCCGCCACCAGGTTTACTCATCGTCACATTCACCGCAGAAACAGTGTCGAAGATACTACCATCCTTCGTACAAACCTCTCCTAGAGTGGATATATGGTTGGCAGCATCCGGTTTCGGATTTGCCTGTCACTGTTGCCAGCCACAGGGCGCCTGCGCCTACAGAGGGACCATGGATGGCTTGCGCTGCACCACCCACAGCTCCAACCACATACTCCATATCCAGTATAAACCCGAAGGAATAAAAACGGGGAGGAATGTGGATGGGAGCCATGTTTCATCAACGGAGCCTGTCCATAATCCTTCACAGGCAAACACATGCACGCTGTATTTGGCGAATCAACCGCACACGAGGCGGTGGCTGGACCGTAGTCCACTCCACACTGAGTGCATGGAACCGCTCTTTGAGCCTAACACGGCCACAAGAACCGTGCATCCCGTCCTCTCCAGCAGCGACCAACTGTCTCCTAGAGCCAGTATAGACGAGGTAGTGGGTAATAGACAGGTAGGCACCTTGTCAACATACACATCAAGCGCAGCCACACCGGGGATGTCAAACAACAGCCAATCACTTGAATTGACAGTAACAAATAAAATATATTTGTTAAAGAATACGGCTATGCAGACATAACTCTTCCCTAAATTAGCATATGAAGTATGTTGGTTATAAGCGAATCCGCGATAAGTAAAAAGTATCCAGAAGTGACTCAGGAAATACTGCAAACGTGATAAAGTTAACGAAGATAAGCACAATTACCGTAAGCAACGTGTAAATTTAATAGAAGAGTATTCCGGTAGACAGAACAAATCAAATGAAGTGGAATGAAATTTATCCAGCTTATAAAGATCTAGTTTAAGTGTCATTTGGTTTAGCCCAACTGTGGTGAACAAGCATCATGAATGCAACATCAGCCTCCGCATGGGGTACCCTGGAGTGGATAACATTCACCTTAAAGCACTGCGGGTAGCAGCCATGCATCTAGCCAAATCAATTGTTGGATTCCTTCTGCACGATTTTGACGACAACCTATTTCCGTCCAAGTGGAGAGGAGGCATTATTGCCTTTTATTCACATGGGAGGAAGTTGATCAGAGCCTACCAATAACCGCGTTGCAGCGCTACTCCCTGTGCCCGCCGAGATCATGGAAATGATCATTGCCGATGCATTGATGGGCTACCTGAAAACCTACGGTTTCGTTGCGCCGGAACAGCAAGGTTTTCGTCAGTATAGATCATGTACCACGAATTTACCTATTGTACGCTACAACTGGACTGAAGCAATTGACTAGAGGACGGGAACCGACTATTATTTTCCAAAAGCTTTCAGTCACTCGGATAAGCTTATCTTACTTCCCATGCATTAACACTATGGCATCGGAGATTTAGTATAGGGATGAGTTGGTAACTTTCTTCAGGTACGACAGCTACAGATTCGATTCCGAACATCTTTTCTGATTCAGTCCGAATGTTATGCGGCACACCGCAAGATTCGTTAATTGGGCATCGTTTGTTCTTACTCTTCATTAACGATTTAACAGGAGTTCTCATCCCGAGCTTTTTACTCTTCGCGGACGACGTTAAGACTTGGCAGGCTTTCAAAGGATTTACAGCCCACGTGATCCTCCAGCGGGACCTTGTTGACGCCTGGAATTGGTCGGTGAGGAACACGCTATCATTCGATATGGACAAGTATCAAGTTGGTCGCGTCCACCCGCGGCAAGTTCACATCTACAATCTTGGGGCACTCGATCCTCAGATCACTTCTCGGGAATGCGATCTCGTGTGCGCGTACTGCAAGACCTTGGTTGTTCTGAGTCCGTTTCAAAAAGAGGTAACCAGCATCTTAGTCTCTTACAGAGGGCACTGGATTTTGGTTTCACCCAGCTTCTCTCCCATGCTCAATGCCAACGTGCGTCCTCACGTCGAATACGCCATCCAGGCTTGGCAACCTTGGTTTAAGCATGACCTCGTAGCCCTCGAGGCTCCATAACGTCGGACAGCGAAAAATGCCAAGTGTTCACACCATCTTCCATACCACGAACGACTGAAGAAACAGAGTGTTCATTGAACGCTGTCGGCGGTTACGTGAGGATCTCGTGCTAATAGACAAAATGTTGAACAATTCCAGTTACGTTTTCCGAGAGAACAGGAGTCTGTGATACAATATATATACATATACATATATATATATATTCACACTCAAGTTACAAAAAATGCGCCACCAGAACTGTAGCAGAATAGAGCAAAGCGGAATAAATTTAACGATGGACGAAGTACTTTTGGATTTTATATATGCCATCTTGCGTTTTTTGTGTCCGATTAGACACAAACTATGCATGATACCGCAGTACAACCCTGGCTCCACTGATATCTGTTACATGCCATAACATCCAGTATTTTCAACCACGTAGTCAGTATCGCGTTTTCCCCGTCGTGGAAAGCGGACCGGTCCGACTGATGCCAAGCTTGAGGTTGCCTTCTTCATACTTCTTCACAGCATTGGTTATCCACCGCGGAACTTTTTCCAATTGGCTTCCGGGAAGCACAAATAACGGTCGACGGGGAAGGCGATTGATCGCCATGCGTTACATGTATCCTAGCCAATGCATGCTGTGTCGGAGAATAACGTTTTGGTGACAGGGGCTATTCCTCATGACCATCGTATTCTGCGGTGGTGAAACATTTTTTACGATCGAAATCGTAAATTCCACGAAGTTTCTGCGGCGCTAATGCGAAAATCGGTGATTTCACTTGGAAGACTAAAATAACCAGAAATCAAGTCACTCTCTCCCACTTGTACGCGTCC